TTCTTATTAAGAAATTGCAAATGAAAGCCACAATGAAATAGCACCTTATATCCACTGGGAGAACTAAAATTAAAAAGAACAATAATCCTAATGTGGAGAAGCTGGAAGCCGCACACATGCTGCTGTGATGTAAATGATGCAGCCACTTTGGAAAAGTTCAGCAGTCACCCCAAAAGTTAAATATGGAGAAGTTATAGGACCCAGCAGTTCTGCTCCTAGTATATATACAAGAGAAGTGACACCATATGTTCACACAAAAATTGTACATGAATGTTCACAACAGCATTATTCATAACAATCCAAAAATAGAAACAATTCAAATTCTGCCAATTAATGCATCAATAAATAAAACATGACATTCACACAATGGACAAATATCCAGCAACAATAAGGAATGGAGTTCAGATATAAGCTACAATATAGATGAATCTTGAAAACATTATGCTAAGAAAAGAATGCCAGACACAAAGGGTCACATAATGGATTCCATTTATAAGCAAAATCCAGGATGGGCAAATCCACAGAGACAGAAAGTAGATTAGTCACTGCCACAGACTGGGAGGGAGTAGGCATAGAGTGAATGTTAATGGGCCCAGGTTTCTTTCTGGGGTGATGAAAACATTCTAAGATTAGATAATAATGATGACTGCACAACCCTGAATATACTAATAACCATTTAAGTCCACACTTTAACAGTGGAAATTTTATAGTATGTGAATTATATATAAATAAAGCCATTTTTTAAAACCCTGTATTCTACTGCACAATAGGGTACTGTATATTTCAAAAAAAAAATCTAAAAGAAAGGATTGTGAATGTTTCTACCACAAATAAAATAATGTTTAAAGAGATATATGTTGACCTTAATTTGAACATCATACAATACAAATGTGTAACAAAACATCACATGGTACCCTATAAGTGCAACTGCTATGTAAACTTAGAATAATATTTTAAATGAAAAAAATCTAAAGCATAAACTTTTTAAAAAGTAGGAGTTGAACTAAGATAAAAAAGCAAAGTAAGACTTGGATGGGTAGAGAAGGTAGAGAAATAGCAAATTGTGGCTCAGATGTAGAAATATGCATGGTAGAGTCAAGGGATAAATTACTACACTGACCACACCAATACTCTTGCAAAACAAAGTAATAGCAAATAATACTGAAGGGATCTGTAGGTAGAAAAAGACAGAGGTGTACAGGACAATTCTATACTAAAAGAGATCTGAATCATAACCCAAAGCTATCAAATGAAATTTCCATACTAATTGATACACCTAGGTAAAATGAGTAAGGCCAGAGAATATGCTTTAGTTTATATGGACATAAACAAGAGAAAACATAACTGAATAACTCCCAGGAATGACTGCAGCTTTTATTCTGAAGGTTTGAAATCAAATACCAAGTAAAACTTAACTTTCAGTATTAAACTTACCAGATCCTCAGGAGTTGCCCGATGAACTGTCAGATCATTCACAGTACTCTGTAAGAAAAGGTGACCTTTACTTAAGAAAAAGTTTTCTTATAAAATATTAGCATTTCCTGGATAATAAAGCTGAAAATTGATTTAAAATCTTAAGACCAAAAACTCTTTCCAGGAAAAAGTATTCTCCATATAAATATTAACACAGATTACTGTTAGATGACCTGCAGAAAATAACACTTTAAGTTGTTTTACAGAAAATAAGAACTCAACTATATTAAAACAAGGGATAAAAAAGAGTAGTATATATTCAAAATGAGTACATTTAGCTACGGTTGCAGTTTTCAAACTGTATTGTGTGGAATGCCATGATTCTTATAAAGATTTCTAACAGAAAGTCTGATCACCATAAAAGGTTCCATTTATGTCCACAAACATCTGTGCCATAGAACCTATTACAATATGAGATTAATCACTTACCAGTCCAATTATTTAAACACAGGGTGACCAAAAATTATTATTTTTTCATTAATTTTTTAATAAGAATATAATAGAAAATATTAAAAAATGGCAATTTTACCAAATTTATTCAATACAAGAATCAACTGGTTGAAATGGCATGCGCCCGAGCCACTCTTGGAACAGTCACTACATAAACAAACATGCTGCTCAAGTGACTCTTGGGGTAAACTGTTAAGTGGTGAAGTGTGTAGGCTCTGCCTAATTTCATAAAAGGTGAAAAAGGGACTAACCAACATGGCAAAGCTACCACACTGCACAACTCCAGGAGGTACAAGGAGTATTCTAGTCCATGTAATCAGTATCCTTTGGACTTGTGTGGTGCCCAGCCTACAAGCTCTAACAAACAGCCCTGCAACTTGGCACTTCCCAAAATGACCTCAGCCATTTTGCTACACAGATTTAGAAAGGCA